CCATAGTCTTCACTGCTTGACAACATTTGTTGCCACTGAGGCAAAGCTGTTCCCCCCAGCAAATGAGAACTGACATGCAACAAAGTTCACCTTTCTCACGGGTGCTATTTGGTGAGCCCTGACCTAGAGATAAAGCTGTGACACTGTCCCATGTGACATAAACTCACCGGTAACTCATACCGGGGGGCGGGGGTGGGGGGCAACAATAGGCTCACAGTTGTAAGTTCACAGAACACAGAGATTATTCTTTTAAAAAATATTTTAGAAAATTATTATATTCTTTTTTTGAGGGGAAAGAGAGTAAGAGGCTGGGAGAGATAAACATAGATCTGCTGCCTCCTGCACGCCCCCTACTGGGGATCCATTTGGGGATCTTCACTGACCTGAAATCAAACCAGAGAGCTTTCAGTGAATGGGGTCCCACCCAATCAACTAAGGACACTGGCCTGGGCAGAGTTTATTCCTATTATTATTAGTATTAGTATTATTTATTAATGTATTATTTTCCATACCAGCAACTCTAAACCTACTTTTGCCACACCCTATATTTTCCTAATACCCTGTTGTAAACTCTCTTTCTGCCTTTCTCAGCCCTCCATGCACTCATTGATTCTCCTTTTTTACAATAGAATAGTTCATGTTGTTCATAATTTTATAGGCACTGCTTGGTGTGTACTCTGTAACAAATACTTGTTTCCTCCATGTACACAGTCATTTTGAGTTCAACACAAATGCTCATGTGAAAAGAAAATTTACCTATTTCTGAGTAGTACTGTGTTCAGTGAATAACCACTTTATCTATTGATCTATGTTTTTTTGTTACTTCTAGGTTTGGGGGTATTATAAATAAATCTTTTGGGAATATTTCCATTCAATTCTTATATAGACATGTTTTACTATTAAACTGTTGTGTAGGTGAATGTTTTATATTTAAGATATGTGAACCTGTTAGCCAATAGAGTCATTCCCTTTGCTTTCCCCCTAACCCATAGTATATAATAATTCCAATTTTTCTGCTACTCTGCAAGGACACACAATGGTTAACCTTCTCAAATTGTAACCCTGGAAATGCATATAATGTTAACTCACTTTTGTTTTAATTCCATCTACCTAAGAATTTTTAATGGTGAACATTTTTTCATACATTTGCACTGTTTTTATCTGCTTTGTTAAAATATCTGCTAAGAATCTTTTTTAAATATTGTTATTGATTTCAGATCAGGAAGGGAGAGGGAGAGAGAGATAGAAACATCAATGATGAGAGAGAATCATTGATTGGCTGCCTCCTGCACATCCCCAATTGGGGATCTAGCCCACAACCCAGGCATGTGCCCTTGACCGGAATAGAACCGGGGCCCCTTCGGTCCGCAGTCTGATGCTCTATCCGCTGAGCCAAACCAGCTAGGGCAGAATCTTTCCAATTGTCTAAATAAATTTATTATTTTAACTGAAGGAGGGCTGTGCAGCATCTAAGACAAATGCTTGAATTTCCCTCATTCTTCAGTGATTCAAGTGACTCCTTTGCCATATGGAGCCATAGGTTTTGATTCTTGGAAGAAAAATTGTTTTACTCAGTTTTTTAAATTATTTTTTATTGATTAAGGTATTACATATGTTTTACTCAGTTTTAAATCTATGTACAACTGAAGCCAAATTATTCCATATACTTATATATTTAATCTGCATTGCTAACATTCAGAGCCACTCTTATTTAAGTGTAAGCATCTAGCAGGGGTCCTCAGACTATGGCCCGCGGGCCACATGCAAATACAAATATTGTATTTGTTCCCCTTTTTTTATTTTTTACTTCAAAATAAGATATGTGCAGTGTGCATAGGAATTTGCTCATAGTTTTTTTTTTAAAACTATAGTCCAGCCCTCCAACGGTCTGAGGGGACAGTGATATTTTTAAAATAATGAAGGTTTGGCAACTACAGTTCACAATTTTTGTGCAAAATATAGTCGGAATAGCGATTTAACTTCATCAACTGTGAAGAGATTAATTAAAAAATTTAGGGAGACTGGATCAATTAGTGATCTTACACACTCTGGCCGTCCTTCAACAAGTCGTTCAACACAAAACCTCGAAGCAGTTCGTGAGAGTGTTGCTGAGAGTCCAAGGACATGAATTCAGCATTGTGGTCAAGAATTGGACATTTCGAGAAGCTCTCTACAGCGTATTCTCACGAAAGATTTGCATCTTCATGCTGACAAAGTTCAATTGACCCAGGAACTGAAGCCTACTGACCACGCACAGCGAAAGGAGTTCGTTGAATGGATTATGGAACAACAACAAGTGGATGGTGATTTTTCAAAAAAAAAAGCATCTGCAGCGACGAGGCTCATTTTCATCTTGCTGGCTTCTTTAATCGACAAAATTGTCGCATTTGGGGTTCAGAAAATCCGCGAGTGATTGTTGAGAAACAAATACATCCACAACGTGTCACTGTTTGGTGAGGATTTTGGGCTAGGGGCATCATCGGACCATTCTTCTTCGAAAATGCAGCTGCTCAGGCAATAACAGTTAATGGTGCTCGCTATCGCGACATGATAATCCATTTACCCGATATGCTATTCCATACATAACCCTATACTGTATACTTTATGAATCAATAAAAAATTTACAATTTTTAATTATATACCTGTGTTTTCTACCAAAATTACTTATTGCGTGAATTTTGGGACACCCTTTACTAATACATTAAATGAAGTCTAGGTTTGTAGAATTTGTCAATTTTCCTGGCATAAATACTCTCATCATGGTCAGTGTTAAACTGCCAAAGTGAAAGCATTGAATATGCACATGATAAGGTATTTCAGTAGCACATCATTGTAATTTATTTCCAACAAAATGATACAGTTGCAACAAATATGCCCCATAAATTTCATAATAACACAGTAAAATTATTGGGAAGCCTCAACTTTTAAAGCTTTTTTTTAAACTTTGATTTAAGTACAACTGATTTAAATCATGCATTCAAACAATATTTTTAATTGATTTCAGGGAGGAAGGGAGAGGGAGAGAGAGATAGAAATATCAATGATGAGAGAGAATCACTGGTAGGCTGCTTCCTGTCCCTCCCCTCTCCCTGGGAATTGATCCTGCAGCCCATGTATGTGCCCTGACCAGAAATAGAACCATGGCTTTCTGGTTCACAGGTCTATGCCCAACCACTGAGTCCCACCTGCTAGGCTATAGTAGTTAAAAATATATTTTTTAAAAAATGTATTTTTTTTTATTGTTGATAGAATTACAGATGTCTCCCATTTCCCCCTGTATATGTATATAGTGTTTGATGGACCCAGCCCAGCAAATCAGTGTTTAAAAAAGTAGTCGCCATCACTGCTGTCATCAACATCATCATCTTCATCATCATCACTGCCGTTTGAGTCTAGAGAAATAACAGCAAAAGAATCTCCACTTAAGATACAGCATTTGCGCCGAAACCGGTTTGGCTCAGTGGGTAGAGCGTCAGCTTGCGGACTGAGGGGTCCCAGGTTCGATTCGGGTCAGGGGCATGTACCTGGGTTGCGGGCACATCCCCAGTAGATGGGCAGGAGGCAGCTAATCGATGTTTCTAATTCTCTATTCTCTCTCCCTTCCTCTCTGTAAAGAATCAATAAAATATATTTTAAAAAAAATAAAATAAAATAAAACTACATTACCCAGAAAGCACGGCGACAGAGTCAGCCGGGTTCGGAGCATTTTGTGATCTGCACATCCGGTTAGGGCGGGACTTCCGGCGTCCTGCTCCCGTCAGCCATTTTTAAGGCTCCCGTGGGTTCGCAGACTCCCGAGCTCTTCTGTTCTGGTGCCGAGTAGGAGGCGTGGGAGGCAGCGTCCCTGCCTTTCAGAGGGGTCAGAGGCTGGTTGAGCCCCGTGGTGTTGGGGCGTCCGAGGCTCCCCGACTCGTCTCCGCCGACAGAGTCCCCTCGGCCTCAGCCCATCGGACCCTCCAGCCTCTGGGCCGGCGCCGCTCGGGTCTCGCCGCCCAGGGCGCAGCGTCCAGCGCAGTGAGTCCTCGTGGGGACCCGGGGTGTGAGGGGAGGGAGGGCGTGCCCAGCCTGCCTGTGGCCTCAG